CGGGCAAGGCCATTTCCTGAGCAGGTGAAGGAGGTGGAACATCCTCAGTTCTGCCAGGCAGAGCTCCCAGACTCATTCCAGGGCCTTTTCCTGTCTCGCAGAGGCGACGGACGGTCCCTCCTCCTGTTACCGCCTGAACGAGCGGGGCGCGTACTACGGGTACTGCAGGAAGGAGCAGGGCACCCACCTCCCCTGCAAGGCAAAGTAAGCACCGAGCTCCACAGCTTGGGATTCGGGAAGAAAAACAATTCCTACTTCAATTAAGAGGCAGAATCCAGGCCCACCTTGTTTTAGGTGTCCCCCCCCTGTTCAGTCTGGGTGTTGTGGGAAAGCCAGATCTGAGAGAATTGGTTGGAGATCACGATCAAATGTGGGCAGAGGTGTGGGCAGACCTGCTGGAGAGGATGTTTGTGTGTGTGTGTGCACAAAACTGCAGGGAAGGGATTTTGGGATAGGGAAGGGAAGGGATTTTCTGATCTGACCCTCAGAATATTGAGGAATATCAGCTAAACACTCAGTTCTGCACATCACCCCCTGATAAGCTGCAGAGGAATCAAAAACCCATCACCTGCTCAAAGCACCAACCACCACAAACCCAAGTTCCCTCCTGCAGCTGTTTCCTTGGAATTCAAGCTGGAGGAGGGACCAGCTCAGGGGGTGGAGGGGGGTTTGCTGTGCCATGGCCTTGTTTTAACAGCTCTTGTTCTCCTTGCAGAGACAAACTGTGTGGGAAGCTGTTCTGCTCCGGAGGGAGGGAGATGCCCCGCGAAGGGAGCCTGGTGACTGTTAATTCCTGCAAAGCAAGTTTTCCTAAAAATGGAGATGATGAGGACCTGGGCATGATTCTGGATGGAACCAAGTGCGGGAATGGGATGGTTAGTAGGGAATCATTTTTCTCCGTGTTTTTTCCTCCTCTTTCAGTCTTAGCTCATTCTCAAGGATAATTTTAAACAGGCAAGGCTGAGCTGACACCAGACTTCTGCTGGTTTTCCCTACATCTACCCCAAACCAGCAGCAAAGCAAACAGGAACTTCCATGATTCCAAATTCCTGTGCCTTGGCTGCTGTCCCTTTATTTTTTTCCTGCCACAAACATACATGGCAACAGAAATACCCCTTTGTACAAAGGTTTTATATAGAAGATCATAAATGTTATTACTACATTTAGTGATTCCCACCATGGATGTGCCAGGAATCTCTAAGTGCTATTCCCAATTTTCTTCTTGGAAGGGGAGGGATGTCTGTACATCTTTGTCACTCCCCTTTGCTGTAAAACACCCAAAAAATGAAAAATGATCCCCAAATATCAACCCCTAAGGTGGGTTTAAGTGATTTGCAGAACTGTTCCCACGTCTCCTCGTGCCCTTCATCCCTTCACATGATCATATTCCAGCTCTGCACCTTCTGGAAGCTCTGAATCCCTCTGGGAACCTTTCATTTCAGGTGTGCAGCAACGGAGAGTGTGTCTATACTGAGGAGGTCTTTAGATCAACCAACTGCTCTGCCAAGTGTTCTGGACATGCTGTAAGATCTGAGATTTGATGCTATTCACTTTAAAATGGTGCATATCAGCTGCAGACCTTATTGCTGAGGGTATTTAAGTCACTGGGATGGGAGTTGGTAAAAACTGGGGAGGCAGAAGCTTCTTATATTTTTATGAAAGCAAATCTAAACTGAGACAAAATCAATATTTTTACCAAGGAGACCACAAGAGGTGGACACAGACTCTGTGTCTGGCCCTGCCCCTGAGCCACAGCACCACAGCTCTTCTCTTTTAGGTCATCTTGGGGTTGGGAAGACAATGTGTGACCATTCAGAGACCTAGAGATGTGTGGGTTAACCCTGCCTTGTACTGCAGCTCTCACCTGCACACCAGCAGAGCCCCAGGGCTCTTTAACCCCCAAAACTGCTCCTCTCCGAGCCAAATTTTAAACTGAGAGCTTCAATAACTCACCAGAGCCACCCAGTGACATCCCAATTCACTCCCAGGGTCTTTGTGCTCCCCAGGTGTGTGACCATGAGCTGCAGTGCCAGTGTGAGGAAGGATGGGGACCACCCACCTGTGACAGCTCCTCAGCCTTCACCAGTAAGTGCTGCACAGCCACACCTTGGGAGCTGCCAGTGAACTGCAGGGAGACAGCCCAGCACTGGGGGCCAGGCTGGTTCATGGAATTGTGGAGGTTGGAAAAGCCCTCTAAGGTCGTGGAGTCCAACCATCCCCCAGCAGCACCTCCCTGGTCACCACTAATGGTGAACACCCACATGGTTTTTGAACACTTCCAAGGGTGGGGACTCCACTATTCCCCTGGGCAGCCTTAACACCCCTTTCACTGGAGAAATTTCCCCTGATATCCAACCTAAAATCCCATTTCTTTGCAAATTATTGCATATCAAGGTAGGTGATTTCTGAGTATCTTGAAGCCCCTGCTGCTTGCAGGAACGAGCAGAGCAAGGACTTTTCTTTGTGAGCTGACAAGTAATTCACCCAGGAGATGGAGCAGCTTCTCCCCTCTCCATGCTGGGATAAGGAACTCACTGTCACCTCAGAGTGGAGCCAAGATCCCACAGGCTTTGCTGTGAGGGAGGTGGACAAATTCCTTTCTCATCTGCAGGCAGCTGGTCTTTAACTGATCTACCTCTGAAGGAAAAGACTTTGTGGATAGATTTCCATCTGTCTGGGAACAAAACCAACCAGCCTCTATTTTATTTATGATATAAATGTGTTTGTCCTCTCCCCACACTCCCCAGAGCACCATCAGCTCTGAACATCAGGGTTTGGTTGAAGGGCAGTTGTGAAGGAAACCTCAGTTGAATGCAATTTTGGGTAACACCTTTTGGAGGCAGAGGAGAGGAGTGACAGCCAAGGGATCTTTGAGGCTGGATGGAAAGGACAGGGACTGTTCAGGGTTTGCTTAGCCCTGCACAGGCTTCAAATCTGGCAAAACCATCTCCATCTGTGTCAGGAGAAGAAGCCACAAAGGGAGGACAAACAGGGTCCAGACCTTGGGAAAAAAATTCCTTTGCCAGTGGTGAGGATGGGAGACTTCCCAAGAACAGTGGATCTCTTGGATCTCTGCCCAAGCTCGAGGATTCTGGGATGTTTCAGGAGTGTCTCTTGTCTCTCCCTGGCAGGCATTGCCATCGTGGTTGGGGTGCTGGCTGTCCTGGCTGTCACAGCCACTGCAGCAGTGCTGCTCATCCGCTTCCGAGTGGCCAAGGAGAGGTAAATCCTTCCCCACTGACTGAAAAAAAAACCCAAACCAAAGCCATGGAATACCTGGATGGGTTTAACTTCCAGTTTTCAAAGGGGGTGGGGGGAAATCAGAAACCAAAAAGCCAAGGAACTCCTTGAGCTTTGCTGAGCTGCTTCAGAATTCTCATATTTGGGAGAGGAGTGAAGATTTGAAATGCGAGATTAATCAAATTAATCAAGATTAATCCTTAATAAATACAATAAAAAAGCAGGGCCATGGCTATAAAACACCACTGGGAATAAGGCAGGCATTCAACTGCAAGTTTATTTACTTCAGTCAAGGTAAGATTTACCACGATATGAAATATTTTACAGCCACCAGAACAGGAGTGGACCTGGAGCCACCAACCAAGTGTTTGTGGATCAAGAGGAGAGGTGCAGAGAACCCCCAGGCCTGGCAGTGCCTGCCCAGAAGGTGAGGGCAGGGGGGTGCTGGGCCAGCTGGCTCTGTCTGGGACTGTCCCAGCCACCAAAACCCACCAGCCAAAGTGGGCTCCTCTTCCTCCAGGGTCCCAAAATGCTTCCCAGGGCTGGGAGGGCAGTGCTGGGAATGCCAGCGTGGGTTGGGAGTGGGGAAAGCACGTGGGGCTGAGTCCCTGAGTGACCTGGGTGACAGGAAAGGGACACAGGGAGACAACACACGAGACAAGGGCTCCATCCCATGGGACTGTTCCCTGTTTGCAGGTGGATGGGAAGAAACTCCTGCTCCCTGTGCCTCCACCTCAGGAGAACAAACCCCAGCTCCAGAGTGTAAGTCCTGCCAGGGAATGTCCCTGCTTCCCTGCTGCCTCTGGGGGAGACATCCCATCCCAAACCAGCTCCCAAAGGCTGGGCAACCCCTGAGCTCCAGCCCAGGGATTTCTCAGGGCCAGGCAGCACTTCCTGCACAACCACATTCCCGTGGGCCCACGGGCATGCACAGTGTGTGTAGAGAGCCAATATGTTTTCTGTTCTGTTTTTTCCAGCCTGCCTTGAGGCCTAAAGGTCCCCCACCTCCTGTTCCTTCCACCAAACCAGCCTCATGTCACCCAGAGGAGAAGTTTGTAAGTACAGCCCTCCAATTCTCCCACATTTCCTCTGAGGAGCAAAAGATTATCAGGTGCCAAACAGTATTTTTCAGTTTCTGACCGTGATTTAATATAAAAACTAAAACTCACAGCCATTCAAACCACAGATTCTTTAAGTAAAGAGTCACCTTTTTTGCCACATAATCCTAAACTGCACAAGATACTCTTGGATACTCAAGGACTCCTCTCAGCCATCACATGTCCCCCTCAGCAGCAAAAGCACAGCCCAGTGGCTTCTGAAAGGGATCTGCCCCCCTTGTCTGGTGGTAATTTGGCACGTGGAGAGATTAATCCACTTCCCCTGCAGCATTTCCACTGGGAAATGTTGTGGTAAATCCATGAGAACACCCGAGGTCTGGGGAGGTTCTGCAGCTGCTCAGGCAGGAAAACCCAGTGACATTTAAACTGCATTTTGTTCCAGGCACCAGAGAGGAAACCTCCTCATCTCCCAGTCCCCAAAGGCAAACCTCCAGCACAGGTAACCCGAGTTCCAGTGGGAACAGCAGTTCCTTTGGGATGTAATTCCTTGAAACAGCCCCGGGCACCCTCTGATGTGTGATTTAACTCCTTCTTTTCCACCCAGGCTTTAAAACCCCCGATGAATCCCCGAGTCTGAAGTTTCTGACCCAGGGCTGGATGGAGATGTTTTCAGGGACAATTTGCTTGCCCCTCCATTCCTCCCCTTTTGGCAAAGGCATCCAGGATCATCTCCCTCTTCTCCTTCCAACAAGAACAACAGACTGGCGGCTGCTCGGGAAGAAAAGGGTTGGGCTCTGAGCAGGGAGGAACATTTTGGTGATGACACAGAGTTTCTGCCCAAGAGGAAACGAAGCAGAGTCACTCTTTGCACTGAGGTGTAGACTGGGAGTAAGTTCCCAAAGCTGCTGAACACATCCCAGCTCCTGGGCCAGCACCCAAGGAGTGGCTGCACCCACATTGCTCCTCTGGGCACAGAGCCGAGGGGGTGAGGGAATGTGAACTCTTACCTTGGTTTGGCTCCATTTTGGGATCTCTGCCAGCCCCTCTCCCTCCTCCACAAGGCACCAGACCTTCTTCACACCTCATCCTAAACTGCACAAGATACTCTCCATCTGTGCCAAGGAATCCTCTCAGCCCTCACATGTCCCTGTCAGCAGCAAAAGCACCTGGAGTTCAAAGCAACAGGGATTTGGGGAGTAAATCAGTGCAAAGGAAGAACAAATCTGAAGAACAAATTTGCTCCTCCAAGGGTCTGGGATGGTCCCTGCATTGCAGAAGTGTGAGTTCTGGAGAAAGACAAACCCTCCCTGCCCTTTGGGGAGGAGTTGGTGTCCTCGAGGTCTGAACTAGGCATGACCTGAGTGAGGTGACACACTGGAAACGGGTCTGGAATGATCCTTTGGGATGGGATTCTCTCAGTAACCCTGTTAAACAAGATCCCTGTGGTGAGTAGGGAGAGCTGGAGGGACTCAGGAGCTCCAAGTGCTGCTCCAAGTGCTCCAGAGCTCTGGCTGTGCCACTCCACAGAGCTCCAGCTGCTCCACTGCCCTGGGACAGGGAAACCCAGCAAAGCAGCCCCACCAAACCCCTCCTCAGTCCTTCCCCTGGCCCTCAGCTCCACCAACATCCAAGGATTCCTCCCTTCCAGGACACCCCCACCCTCCCTTTGGTGCTCCTGTCTCCCCCCAGGGGGTTGTTGTGGGGTAACTCCTGGGAAGCAGGGCTTGTTTTTGGGGGATGAGTTTTCCCACTCTGCTTCATTCCCGAGGGTCCCTCATCCCCCCTGCCCTGCTGGCATCACTCTGGGCACGTTGCCCAGCTGGGATGGCTCTGTTGGCACTGGTGTTACTGGTGCTGGGAGCTGCTGTTGCCACTGGCACTGGGAGCATCCCCGTGCTCGGCATCCAGGGTTGGAAGGTCAAGCTCCCAGAAATGTTTTTTCAAGAGCAAAAATTCTACCAGGGGAGAAGAAGAAAAAAAAATAAGAGAGAGAAAAAATAAGGAAAAATAAAAGAGGGAGAAAGGAACTTGCCCTGGATTCAAAATACTTAAGATTTTATGGAGTTTCCAGTGAGAAGTGGGTTTAGGATCAGAGTCAGAACATGGATCCAGCTGATCACACTGTGACTCAGGAAGGCTGTTTCCAGCCCTTGGGCACAGTGGCTTCGCTGGAGAAGCCAAATTCCCAAATTTCTGCTGTTTGCAGTGACCCTCCCTGAGCTCTCACACTTCAGACCCACCCTCTCTGATCCAGAATTCCAATAAACTCCAATTTCTCCTCTTGGGCTGGGCTTTGTCTGAGGTTCCCAACCCCTGCAAAACACGAGTGTGCTGGAATTCCAGTCTGGTTGGAGGAGGGAGGTGGGATTTTGGATTGGGATAAACGTTACTGGAAGAGCAGAGCTTTCTTCTGCTTTGGATTATTGCTGCTTTATTTGAGTCAGGGAGGGATTTGAACCCATATCTGTGTCTGACTGCGGTGTAAAGACTCAGAACTTATTTTTTATGAGCTGTAATTAATGTATATACAAAGATTTCTGTATTAAAGTGTTCTCTCTAAATGGGAGTCTCTAAAAAGTCGCTGTGTTTTTTAAAAACCATCATTTGCACATGAGAAATCGTGTAAAGTGGGACCATTTATAACAATGCCAAATCCCTAAAATTCCCAGTTTTAACCAAAAAGGAGTATTCACAGGTGTAGTCAAAACTGCCAAGTTAGCCAGTTAATTTAAATTATAATTTAATTAAATTATGTATTAAAAAATTTAAATTATAAGTTAATTAAATTGTAATTTAAATAGAATTTGGCTTTATATTTAAATTATAAAGAGAATTAAACGATAAGATATTCCATCCAGACTTTTCTGCCACCTTAAAATCTACTTCTTCCCCTTTTCCAAACTTTGTGAGCACCCCAGAATTTTCCAAGGACGGAGAGATTTGCAGCAATAGAGAATTGCTGTTTCTTCATTATTTCCCTAAGATTCATCCCCCAAACCAGGGAGTTTGGGCTGCCTTTTCTCCTGCAGAAACCCAAATACCTGAACCCTTCCAGTGCCTCCCACAGACCAAAAATCCACTTTCAGCAGAAAACTGAAGCAGAAACTTGAGAAAAATGTATCTATTTTATATATAAAATTTATTATTCCTCAATACTTTATTATTATATATAATTTCTTGTTACCCCCAGGTAGTAATAAATTATATCTGGAATATAATTTAGCTTTCCTTGGCCCCAAGAGCCCAGGACAGGTGCCAGCCCCTCCTGCCTTGAAGAACACGTTTTGTTCTTCAATTCCCCGGGTTTGTCCAGTCTCTTCTGTTATACAAACGTGACATCTGCTGTTAAAAACCCTCCACTGCAAGAGGGAAAGGCTTTAAAAATCCATAATATATCGGTAACCTCCTGTGCAGGACCCACGAGGCCCTTCCCTCGCTCCCAGCCCTAGAGAAAAGCAGTTTATTGCTGGTTTGGGGGCTGTATTTTTTTGCTGTGAGTGAACACTCCACCCCAATTCCACGGGGAAACAAAAATGGCTTTTTTCAACCTCTGAATTCGTAGAATCAGAGAATTATGGAATGGTTTGGGTTGGGAAAGCTCACTCAGTGCCACCCCCTGGCACGGGCAGGGACATCTCCCCCTATCCCAGGCTGCTCCAACCTGGCCTTGGACACTTCCAAAGATGGACAATCCACAATTGTGTTCCAATTTCCCACCCTCTTTCCTCCCTCTTTCCCCTCCCCAACCCAACCTTCCCCGGGAACATTTTTGGAGGGCTTCCCGAAAACCAGCCATCCCAAGAGCCCGAATTCCTTGGCGGTTCCTCTCCCTGGCGCTGGGAATTGTCCCCCTTCGCCCTGCAAAACTCCGCGCTGGCCATTAGAGGGCAATGGGACACGGACCACGAGAGTCTTGTGGGATCTCCAACGAGCCCATCCTGCATTTCCAGCCCCCTCCGACCTTGGGCTGCACATCCAGGAGACACCGCCAAGGACGGGGAGCTGGAGCCCGGGCAGGGTTTCAGACACAGAGGCACCAGACGGCTCAGAAACAGGCTGGACCCAACCCTCCAAACGTGACACCACAGACAGGACCTGCTCTGGGGCTCCTCACGGGCAAGAGGCAGCTTTTTCATCGATCCGGGTTTTGCTGCCCAGAAAACCGAGTGTTGTCCTCCCAGCCCTCACCGACATGAATCACAAAAACCCCCCCGGGATTTGGAATTAAGCATTTTTTTTTTCTGCTTTTTGCTTCCCCCTGCCTTCTAGCAGCGCATAAATTGTCGCCTCCTTGACAAAGGAGTGAATAAAAGGCTTCAGGCCGGACCCTGTGATGTGCAAATCAGTGGGAATTCCTGGAAATATTGAAGATTCCCCTGCTGACAGTCCCTGAGAACTCAGACCTTTGGTGGTTGTCCACCAGCAAACTGAGCTTGGTGGTCTCCAGGGCTACAAAAGCAAGTGGTTCTTACTATGGCAGCCTTTGGCACTGGTTGATAATTCAGGAATTATAGGATATGGAATATCCTTAGTTGGAAGGGGATCATCCAGTCCAAGTCCTGGCGCTGAGGAGGGGAATAATCCCACCCTGTGCTGAAGTGTGAACCTCAGCCCTCAGCCACCTCTGGCTGAGAAATGCCACTAATCATCAGATTATGGATTAATTAATTAATGTGGCATTGCTGGATGCTTCTAATCCTCCTCTGGTGCTGAGGAAACGGGAGGCCCTGGGAAAAGAGGAGGGTGGTGCCAGCATTTCTCCTGGTCCCTCATCACTTTAAAACCACCCAGAAAAGTGGCAGAGAGATTAACAGGCTGTTACTGACATTAGAGCCATAAATAATTCCACCAAAGACGTGGCCCTGGCCTTTAGAAGGTCTCAGGGAAAAACAGCAGAGGCTGAAATATTGATAGATGTGTCTGCAAGAGCTGTTAGGAAAGGGAAAGTGCTTTCCATGGGATTGGGGTGAGCACCAGGACAAGGGGGGGGAACCTCGATCACATCCTGACAAAACAGGAGTGCACAGCACCAGGAGAGAGGATGAATGATAAAAACAACCCCAGTTCAGGAGAAATGGAGGCAAAAATCCTCCTTAAACAGGCAAAAACAGTGGTGAAAGAGTGAAGAACATCTCCAGCAGGAGTGAGAACAGGTGAGGGCAGAGCTCAGGTGTGCTCCCCCCGGGCTGCAGAGACAGAAAACATCTTTCTTCCACCTGTTAGTACACGGAGGGAGAGATGAGCCTCTCTCCCTGCCATGCCCTGGATCTATTTTGGCGTGTCCTGGAGTGCACTGGAGAAATGTGTTTTCCATGTTCCACCTCCCCGGGTCCCAGCGGCGCCCGCGTCACGGCAAAGTGCTGCAGGGACGCTCCTACATCCACCATCCTCCCAAATCAGGTCACCCCAAAACGCCTCCTGCCCAGCCCCACAACGGGACAAGGCTTCAGGAAAGGCTCCAGGGGAGAAAAAACCCACGGGATGACTTGGATGGAGCCTCCCTGTTAAGGTGCTGGAGCAGAACGTGGTTCACTCCCTGCAGAGACACCTTCACTCCCAGCACACACCTGGGGACAGCAAGGGAATTCCCACATCTGAGCCCCATTCCAAGGAAACAGCCCCTTTTCCACTCCCCAG